GGGTTGGTGGAGGGGCGCTCCTACACCTTCCGTGTGCGTGCCGTCAACAAGTCTGGCATGAGCCGGCCTTCCCGTGCCTCTGAGGTGGAGGCAGCCATGGATCCTGCCGACCGCGCACGAATGAGAGGTACGATGGGCACCCCTGTCTGGCATCTGGCCCTCCCTGTCTGTGTTCTCTCATATTGTGTTACGATACTGCAAAATTAATATATTGTGAGTACGTACCTATGTGAGAGCTGATGGTTTTAGTATTATGCATGTGTTTTCTTGTAACTATGCATCTGAAACCTGCTCCTCTTCCCCTGGCCTCCAGGTACCTCTGCACCCTGGACTGGCCAGATCATTGTCACTGAGGAGGAGCCTGCAGGTAGGAAGGAAATGCTTCTGTCAATGTTGATAAATATTTTGATGCAGCTATAGATCTTATAGGGCCTACAGCTTACAGTACCTTGTGGTCTTTCATTGGAAGGATAATGAAAACTCTAGTCTTGCTTGGTTGCCAGTCTGTTGATCTCTTCCCAACTCCTAATGGAAAGGTCATGTTTGGCTTGACAATGACAAGGCAAGAGCAAAAACTGATCTGGGACCAGGCTACGAGATCAAACCCCTGACACATTTTTTTTCACAACACTTCCTATCAGAGGGTGTGGTCCCTGGCAGACCCAAAGAACTGGAGGTCACTGAGGCCACCAAGAACTATGTGGTTCTGAGCTGGAAACCACCTGGAGAGAGAGGCCACGAGGGCATCATGTACTATGTGGAGAAGGTAGGAAATACAGTATATACTTCACTAACATCATATACCTTATCTGTAGCATGACTCATCTGATCAATATAACCAACATTTCATCACTGTTTCTCATCCATAACAACCACCATATCAATATCATTCAATAAGTTAACATAAATCTGTTCTTTTTTTAGTATTTTATAGTGCTGGAAGTTGTTTGGTGTTTGGAGGGTTGGAGCCGTACTCTAACTTCTGGGTGTTGTCTGTTAGTGTGTGTCAGGCACAGACAGCTGGCAGAGGGTGAACACAGAGATCCCAGTGAAGTCTCCTCGCTTCGCCCTGTTTGATCTGGCGGAGGGAAAGGCCTACAGCTTCCGTGTGCGCTGCTGCAACTCCGCCGGCGTTGGCGAGCCATCAGAAGCCACCGAGGCCACCACTGTCGGGGACAAGCTGGGTGAGGGGTCACAGGTCATAAATCACACGCCATACCACAGACTACAGCAGTTCCCAGTGTGCCAAAAAAATAGATTTACTCCGAAAGACATGCACTCCTCTCAGAATCAGTATACTTGAGCTCTTACAAGCTATCTGGAGTGAAATCATAGTTTTTTAAATCATTTGATCTTAGTTGAATAGTCTATTGTTGTCCCCAGATATCCCGTCTGCCCCAGGCCGTGTGATTCCCACCAGGAACACAGACACGTCCGTGGTTGTGTCCTGGGAGGCTTCCAGGGAAGCTAAGGAGCTGGTGGGATACTACATCGAGGCCAGCATCGTGGGTAGCAACAAGTTTGAGCCCTGCAACAACAAGCCTGTGAAAGGCACCAGGTACAATGGTCCTTCTAACAATCCTTCTAGCAATCGTTTACAAATATATACATATACAAATGGTGACCATAAATATAATTCAAAACTATATGTAATTGATGGTGAGCTCAAGTAAGTTGACAAAACATTGTTTTCCCACTCAAATTAAATCAGTGACCAAAGACTTAGAGATTGATGGTGTGAAACGTCTTTCTCAAAGTGTTTTTGTGTACTGGTAAACAGGTTTATCTGCCACGGTCTGGTGACAGGAGAGAGCTACGTGTTCAGAGTGAAGGCACTGAACGCCGCTGGGCTCAGCGAGTGTTCTCAGGAGTCTGAGGCTATTGAGGTGAAGGCTGCTATTGGTAAGTGAGAGGAAGAGTGTCATGGCACAGTCATACTAGACAATACGATAGGAAGCCATTTTAGGAAGAATGTGAAGAGCTATATACAAGGAACTTCTTTTTTCTGTTTAGATGAAGCACTATTACACTCTTAGAAAAAAAGGTGCTATCTAGAACCTAAAAGGGTTCTTCCACTGTCCCCATAGGAGAACCCTTTGAAGAACCCTTTTTGGTTCCAGGTAGAACTCTTTTGGGTTCCATGTAGAACCCTTTCTACAGAGGGTTTTACATAGAACCCAAAAGGGTTCTACCTGGAACCAAAAAGAGTTATCCTATGGGGACAGCCTGAAAACCCTTTTGGAACCCTTTTTTCTAAGAGTGTATGTGACTTAAAGTTGGGTTATCATTTTATGATACTAGGATCAGGAAAGCCTTTAAGCTGTATGTGTAGGTGGAATGTGATTATTGAATCTTATGCATAATATTGTTATTACTCCTTTTGTAATATGCTGATGATGAAAGAAATATCACATTTCCACACTGAACTGGGGTTTAGCTGATGTGTTGTACAATTGTCTTCTTTTTTTTCTGTCCATTGAGACATCACGTTGTCAGCTCTGTGTACCATCAGCATTTAGACTCCTCCCACGTGTTCTTTCCCATGGTTCCACTCTGTCAGTCACCCGAACAAGCCCCACCCACCACCCCACACCCCCTGTTGAGTCAGAACTTATCCCCACCCTCCCTGCACAACCTGAGGCGGGCCAGGGTCAGGAGTTGTAGACTTCCTCTAATTTGGGTCAGTGCGATCCAACTCAGCGGTTGTTACAAACCAGCCCACCTTGCGTTCCTCTGTCATGCGCTACACCCCCCCCCCCCCCCCCCCCCCCCCCCCCCCATCACCTTGCCTGGGCACGAGATGTATCAGCCAACACCACCCACCTGGTGTTCAAGGTACCCACCCCCTCTCCACCCTACCAACAATACCCCCTGATCTGCATTGTGTATCTACCCATTCTACTCACTCTCGACTGGGAATACTAGCTCTTGTCCCGGGTGTTACAGCGGCTTGCGCCTTGCTAATGCTGAGCTGCACTAGCGCCCTGGACCAGAGCTAGGGAACAGGAATACTAAACTGACAGCCCTGCTCCTTTACAGTTGTCCCATTATGTCTGCACTATGACTAACCAGGCTTCTAGCTATGACACATCACTCAGTCACTGGCCAGCTTTGTGCCGAGCAGCATGCTCTGTTCTCCCTTATGAAACACACTTAGTAACAATGTCAATGGATTTCTCTCTACAGTCCATTACAACTGATAATAGTTTGTAGACCTAGAGTCTAGGCCCATTAGTGATAGTGTCTTACACAATAAAAGATAGATAATTGAATACTCACAATTGAGCCGAGGTTAGTAAATTTATGAGTAAACACTTCTATCACACATCTTTTCAGAATATATTAGGAAAGAATAACTGCATGTATATCCATAGATCTCACTCATAACTATTTCCAATAGTTGTCTCCCATTGATAGAATTGCTATGTATCATTACATATACTTGATCAATTTAGCCCATATTGTGCATATAATGAAATCCACTGGTATCATTACGAAAGTATAGTGTGGCTTTTTCATGAAGGGTTGGCGCAAAGCCTGCACACACTCGCTTTCTCCCCTCACACACTTGTGCTTTCTCTTTAACTCTGCAACTCGCTTCCACACGCAGATGTCACTTGTTGGTCATCTTGTCTTCATTTTTCATAGTCTGTCAGATGAAGACATGGTACTGTATTTAATACTGTATGTGATGGTATTGGTAATGTTTTCTTTCTCTCTTTCCCTCTGTCTCTCTTTCTCTCTCTTCTTTCCTCTCTGAGTGAGCTGACTGAGATTGTAGCTGTTTGTTAGTGTAAATTAGTTGATCTTCTCTTTGCCTGTGTTAAATGGCTTCTTTTGCTTTTCTCTGCTAACTCCTGTAGGGGGCGGTATTCCTCATGGTGTGTTGCCGGAGTGGGAGTTACCAAGGGGTGGTAACGTGGGCGGACTAACCAAGCACACGCCACGCTGGACGGGCACGCATGAGGCCGTTCAGTACCCCCCTTACACTACGCTAAAGCTCAATGCTCAGACTGGCAGTGTGCCTGGGGCAGGGGCCGGAGCTGGGGCAGGGGCCACTAGCTCAAGCCCCTCAGGGCCCCTGGCTACAGGAAGTAAAGGCAAGGGGGGCAAGAGAGGCAGTGTGACCTGGGCCCCTGACCTGGTCACAGAATCAGTCACAGACTTGGTCATAGAGCCGGCCAAGGCCACGGATGAGGTTAAAGGTCAGGCTAAGGCGCCTGTGTCTGGGAAAACACGTAAGTCCTCTGTAGATGTTTCAGCCAAACGGGGGACAGAGAAAGAAACAGCCCATAACGTGGGCTGGCCCAGGACAGACCCAGACCCAGGTGAGCCCTCAGTAAGGCCACGTCAACCCTTATATCATCAGATCATCCAAAATAAAACAACTCTTCATCTTTTCCTCCCAAGGATTTTTTTTTTTTAACTGAAGCTTTTTTCTTTCTACACTTTTTTCTTTTTTTGAAATGTATTTTTTTTTCACTTTGGTAAGAAGGTCGAAAACTATTTTGAAAAAAGAAACTGCCACTGTAATATTCGAATAGGGATCACACTTTGAACGTATGTGGTTCTACTCTCATATTCACAGGAAAGGCATTAAAACACAGTACATATAGCCAAAGTATTCAACTGGTAAAATCCTGTTTTTATCCTAAGGTAAGTTTCTATAACAGCTTTCTCAGTTTAACTACACAGTCACGCAGCCTTTCAGGCAATCTACTGGCCACCTCTACCACAGGGCTGCCTCACACACACAGGGGGGGGGGTTTGTCCTCCCTCCACACCCTCAGTGTTCAGGCACTGTGCTGGCCACCTCTCAACTTACTGTAGCCGGTTTTGTCTAGAAGGGATATTGCTTTTGTCAAAATTGACTTTTCATAGCAGGTTAGGAGAATTTACGCAGCAGGTTAGGAGAATTAACGTAGCAGGTTAGGATAATTAGGTTAAGGTTAGGAAAAAGGTTAGGGTCAGCTATTTCAACATCTGATGTCAATTTGACAGAAGCTGTATTCCATCTAGCTGCTGTAGCCTGGCTGGCTCACACACTGTGCTCTTTAGGGTCCACCTTGGGTGAGCAGTGCACATTAACGCACAGAGGCACTGTGACATAGCTGGAGCTAGCCTATCACAGCTTGTCTCTGAAGTGGGTCAGCCAATCACAAGCCAGAAATGGACACCTATGACCTGAGACCTTTTTGGTTGTGTACTTCCTAGTCAGATTCTACGCCATACCCCCTCCCCCAAATTAGGGAGCACACCATGTCCATTTGACTATTTGTGTGACAGGTCAATTTATTATGATTATGTAATATTATTCAGTCATCTGTGTGAGCTCACTCTATTGAAGACACCACCGTAGACCAGCCACTGAAATCATATGTGTCCTCACAGCTCCTGTGGCTAAAATATTTTGTCCCATTCCAACTCAGTCCAGGTCCCTGAAATTTGTGTCGTCATCATTTTGTCAATATGTGATGACTCAGTGTCTGGTTGAAACATAGCTTGAGGTGAAAGGTTAAGGGTTAAAGGTGCAGACAGTAGTCTCTTACAGCAAGTATGGGTGACAAACTATATCCCTTAGCTGTTGTTTAACCAACAGATAACTTTGAACTTTGTTTGTGATTAAGTGTATTAGTGCCCAATACTTGCTCTAAGCAGCAGAAAGTTAGTAAGTCTAAGTGATGAAAGACTGAAGCTCAACTAAGAGCATTATGAAGGCTTTATAAAGCTTCCGTCTCCCATGACTTCATAGTGTCACAGTTGACTCAGCATGATGCTAACTGGAGTCCTCTGCTGTCCCAGCATCCCCTACTCCACCCTATGGCATCAGCGTTCTGGAGTGTGTGCGGGACTCTATGGTGCTGGCCTGGAAGCAGCCCACCTTCATCGGAGGCGCTGACATCACCGGCTACTTCGTGGACTACCGTGAGGTCATCAATGGGGTGCCAGGGACGTGGCACGAGGCTAACGTCAAGGCTGTCAGTGACAGAGCCTACCGAGTGAGTCAACCTTTTTGTTTTTTGTTTTTTTGGGGATGTAGCTACCCTCTTTAACCTGAATTTGCAGGCACCTTTTGTCATATCGGGAGAAAAGGGAGAATGGTTTTTCACTGTCTGTCTGTCCAGGTGTCCGACTTGAAGGAGAACAGGAAGTACCAGTTCCAGGTGCGTGCTGCCAACATGGCAGGCGTGGGCATCCCGTCTCTGCCCAGTGGAACGTTTGTCTGTGAGGAGTGGACCATTGCTGTGCCAGGTGGGTAGTGTCACTTGCAAACCTGAGCAAGTATGAGAATTACACTGTAACACATCAACATGAATACTATATCACAATACAAGTTATACACTGCAAAGATGTGTGTCGAAAAATAAATAATTGACTTGAATTATAACCTTATAACCTCCACCTCCTTTTGTGGTAATGGTCTGTTGAAGCTTGCATGCACAGGGACATTATCTATGTACATTGCATTGTCTATGGGTGTGTCCCAAATAGCCCTATAGGCCCTGGTCAAAAGTAGTGCACTACAAAGGGAATATGGTGCTATTTGGATCACAGCCTTATGTCTGTTCTTCAACTCTAAACCTAATTATTTACCCCTAATTTCCCACAGGACCTCCCCATGATCTGCAGGTGACAGAGGTGCGCGCCAACACTCTGGTGTTGCTCTATAAGCCACCAGTGTACCAGGGCCGTGACCCAGTCAACGGATTCTACATTGACATTAAGGAGGCTGATGCTGAGGAGGAGGCCTGGAGAGGAGTCAACGAGAAGGCTGTCCTCACTAACTACATGAAGGTCAGGACCCTATCCACTCCCATCCCTCCAGGGTGAAGTTTCCCCTGTAACAGATCTAAGATCAGCTTCCCCTTCCTAATCCTAACCTTAACCATTAGTGGGGGAAATGCAAAACCGACCCAGGATCAGCCTCTAGGGGCAACTTCAACCTACTCCATTTCTATCCACTTAAGTCAATCATACCATACTAAGGCACTGCATCGCAGTGCTAACTGTGCCACTAGAGATCCTGGTTCGAATCCAGGCTCTGTCGCAGCCGGCCGCGACCGGGAGACTCATGGGCGGCGCACAATTGGCCCAGCGTCGTCCAGGGTAGGGGAGGGAATGGCCGGCAGGGATGTAGCTCAGTTGATAGAGCATGGCGTTTGCAACGCCAGGGTTGTGGGTTCGATTCCCACGGGGGGCCAGTATAAAAATATATGTATTCACTAACTGTAAGTCGCTCTGGATAAGAGCGTCTGCTAAATGACTAAAATATAAATGTAAATACCATTGAGCACACATTCTAATTCAGAATTTGAATGCATAGTGTCTGATTGTAAGTGTGATGTGATTGGTGGAGGTATTTGTCAGTCAGAGGGTGTGTCCTGTGTGTAAAGGGATTTTCAACACTACTGCTTGTGTCTCAATAGTAACATATTTGATGTATGTGACTAACTTGTGTATAATGTGACTCTTTCTTTCATGAACAGATTAAGATTCTAAAGGAGGGGGAGACCTATGTGTTCCGTGTGCGTGCTCAGAATAAGGCAGGTGTAGGAAAGGCCTCTGAGCCCACAGAACCAGTCCTGGCCGAAACCAAACCAGGTAGGATGGTAGGACGATGTTAAAGACCCCTCAACAGAGCATGAGGGAGAGAGAGGAAGGACATTGTTATTAAGCATACATACTGTACATTTAATTTAAGTCATACCTTGAAGTCAGGCACCTCATGTGTGGAATAGTCTCCAGTTGGCACTTCTTTTGGATTATTTGGTGTCCCTGGGTTAATTTAGGAAATTGGTGAAGGATTTTTATAGTGATGAATGTGTTTGTTTTATTTGATTATAATGGCTAATGTGTATATTGTGAGAGACAGAATAACAACAGAAAAATCCAGTAAAACGCATGTCAAAAATGTTATAAATTGATTTGCATTTTAATGAGGGAAATAAGTATTTGACCACCTCTCAATCAGAAAGATTTCTGGATCCCAGGTGTCTTTTATACAGGTAACGAGCTGAGATTAGGAGCACACTCTTAAAGGGAGTGCTCCTAATCTCAGTTTGTTACCTGTATAAAAGACACCTGTCCACAGAAGCAATCAATCAATCAGATTCCAAACTCTCCACCATGGCCAAGACCAAAGAGCTCTCCAAGGATGTCAGGGACAAGATTGTAGACCTACACAAGGCTGGAATGGGCTACAAGACCATCGCCAAGCAGCTTGGTGAGAAGGTGACAACAGTTGGTGCGATTATTGCCAAATGGAAGAAACACAAAATAACTGTCAATCTCCCTCGGCCTGGGGCTCCATACAAGATCTCACCTCGTGGAGTTGCAATGATCATGAGAACGGTGAGGAATCAGCCCAGAACTACACGGGAGGATCTTGTCAATGATTTCAAGGCAGCTGGGACCATAGTCACCAAGAAAACAATTGGTAACACACTACGCCTTGAAGGACTGAAATCCTGCAGCGCCCGCAAGGTCCCCCTGCTCAAGAAAGCACATATACATGACCGTCTGAAGTTTGCCAATTAACATCTGAATGATTCAGAGGAGAACTGGGTGAAAGTGTTGTGGTCAGATGAGACCAAAATGGAGCTCTTTGGCATCAACTCAACTCGCCGTGTTTGGAGGAGGAGGAATGCTGCCTATGACCCCAAGAACACCATCCCCACCGTCAAACATGGAGGTGGAAACATTATGCTTTGGGGGTGTTTTTCTGCTAAGAGGACAGGACAACTTCACTGCATCAAAGGGACGATGGACGGGGCCATGTACCATCAAATCTTGGGTGAGAACCTCCTTCCCTCAGCCAGGTCATTGAAAATGGGTCGTGGATGGGTATTCCAGCATGACAATGACCCAAAACACACGACCAAGGCAACAAAGGAGGGGCTCAAGAAGAAGCACATTAAGGTCCTGGAGTGGCCTAGCCAGTCTCCAGCCCTTAATCCCATAGAAAATCTGTGGAGGGAGCTGAAGGTTCGAGTTGCCAAACGTCAGCCTCGAAACCTTAATGACTTGGAGAAGATCTGCAAAGAGGAGTGGGACAAAATCCTTCCTGAGATGTGTGCAAACCTGGTGGCCAACTACAAGAAACGTCTGACCTCTGTGATTGCCAACAAGGGTTTTGCCACCAAGTACTAAGTCATGTTTTGCAGAGGGGTCAAATACTTATTTCCCTCTTTAAAATGCAAATCAATTTATAACATTTTTGACATGCGTTTTTCTGGATTTATTTGATGTTATTCTGTCTCTCACTGTTCAAATAAACCTACCATTAAAATTATAGACTGATCCTTTATTTGTCAGTGGGCAAACGTACAAAATCAGCAGGGGATCAAATACTTGTTTTCCTCACTGTATTTTGTATATAATTGTGTGTGTGCTGATGTGACTGTTGTTACCAGTGCACAATTGTGAATGAGACCTAGGTCTCAATGTGTCTCCCTGGTTAAATAAAAGTTAAATAAAAAAGACCCCCCCCCCCCAACTATATCCCAAGTATAAATACAGATAATGTACAAACACTTAAAGGGATAGTTCACCCAAATTAGAAAATTACACATTGGTTTCCTTGCCCTGTAAGCAGTCTTTGAACTATCCCTTTAATGGTAAAAAAAAATATTAATACATTTAGTCATACTGCACCTTTGCATGTATTTTTGAGTCTCCAGCTTTGTTTGACTTTAGGTCTGTTCTCTCTCAGGCACTACGGAGATTGTTGTGGACGTTGATGATGATGGAGTAATCTCCATGAACTTTGCTTGCTCAAACCTGACTCCAGACTCCAAATTTGTGTGGTCAAAGAACTACGAAGAGATCACAGACGATACTCGAATTACTATGGCGACCAGTGGGGAGAAGTGAGTGTGTGTGCATTTGTGTGTGTGTTTGTGTGTGTGTGCGAGTTCGAAAGATTAGGCCCTCTAAAGTACTTCAGTATGTTGATTGTGCTGGTGCCTTTGCGTCTTCCCCTCAGGTCCAAGGCCACCTTTAATATGCTTGCGGAGGATGACATCGGCATTTACTCTTGTGCTGTCACCCACACCGACGGTGCATCCTCCAGCTACACTCTCTCAGCAGAGGGTGAGTCCCACTGTGTGTCTGTGGTACCGTAGCACTGTACTAGTCTGAACACGTTATCACTTTAGTAACTAACTTAGAAGGTTAAGAGGGTAGCAGAGCTTCATTGCTCCTGTGTAATTTCTACTTCTTAATCTCTGATTCATATTTCATCTCATAAATCTTTTTTCTTTATTGACAGAGCTGAAGAAACTTCTGGAGATCAGCCATGACCACAAATTCCCCAGTGAGAAACTCAGACACCATGTTCTATGGATGCGTCCCAAATGGCACCCTATTCCCTTAGTGCACCACTTTTGACCAGGGCAAAAGTAGTGCACTGTGTAGGGAATAGGGTGTAATTTGGGATGCATACATCTTTTCTCATTTGTTTGTTCTGTGTATGACTCTTTCCTCTCTGTTCCTGCTCTCACTTTTTCACTTTCTCTCCTCTGTCTCTCTCCTTCTCATTCGATCTGTCTAGTTATTCCCTTAAAGACAGAGCTGGCTGTGGAGCTGCAGGAGAAGGGCAGAATTCGCTTCTGGCTGCAGGCTGAGAAGATCTCTGCTAATGGCAAAATAGAATATGTGTTTAACGACAACAATCTCTCCCAGGGAGAGGTAAGTAGGCACTGAATGGAAACAAAATAACTGAACTGTCTCTTAATGTTGAGCCGCTTAGGGTTGCTAAAATTCCCAGGTTTTCCAGAAATCCTGGTTCGAGGTTTCCTGGATTTCCTGCTTATTCCTTGCTGATTGCGAGAATTCTCCAACTGGCATTTCTGGAAAACCTGGGAATTTTGGGAAAGTGACCTGCAATTTGCAACCCTGTGCTCCCTACATATGTATAACATCTAGTGTAATTGATGTTGTTGAGATGAAGTTTATGAGACCAGACTAAAAAGTATTTTCCTATGGCCTGCTTTCCAGAAATACAAGATGAACTTTAACAAAGACACAGGTGTGATTGAGATGACCATGGAGTCTCTGCTCCCAGAGGACGAGGGAACCTTCACCTTCCAGCTGCAGGACGGCAAAGCAACCAACCAGTCCAGCTTGGTGCTGATTGGAGAAGGTAGGATAAACTCTGCCTCTCATTCTCTCCTTCTCCTATCATCTTCCATCACTCTCTCCTCTTGCCTGATAGCCAGTCAGTTTGTGCTATCATGCCAACTCCTTGTCAGTCTTTGTCATAGCTTGAAAAGGACAGCAATGGACTAGGCAAGAGCACAAACAGATCTGGGACCAGGCTATCTCTCCTCTGTTGTAAAGAAAAAACAGCCCCACTATGGCTCAGAAGTTAGATCTTAACATATTTCACTAGTGGGCAGTAAAAGCTTACTATAAACCATGAACATTTGTGCTCACACATTAATGACAAATGTATCTGATTAAATAATACAAGACACATCATAGTGACTATATTACATGAAAGATTAATGTAATTGTACATAAAAGTTGTGTTGCCTAATCAGGAATGATGTGTTTTTCCAGTGTTCAAGGGGCTGCAGAAGGAGTCTGCATTCATGCGCAAAGAATGGCACAGAAAGCAAGGTATGGGATCTTTTTAAATGAAGAAAATATGTCATGAGTAGAATAGTGATATGATGAGATATTAGAATATTAGATTTATAGAACAATTTCAGAAATCATTTCAACATAATTGATAATTGAAATATTCCCACTGTCTTGTTTTTCGTAGGTCCTCACTTTGTGGAGTATCTGAGTTATGAAGTGACCCCAGAATGTTGTGTTGTCCTGAAATGCAAGGTGAGACTGCTGAGAAACAGGGTTAGAGGGAACTCTTGGAAATAGATGTCAGTATTAGGAAAATTATTCTTAGCTCACACACTTCTCCAGATGACTTGTTACCCACCGGTGTGCAGTAATGAAGTGGACCTGAACAACATATCTCTGTCTAACTCTATTTCCATCCCTCTATCGCTATCACCCTCTGCAGGTTGGGAACATAAAGAAGGAGACTGTTGCATTGTGGTACAAGGATGGGCGTGAGATCAAGGGAGACGAGAAACTCACCTTCACCGAGGGAGTGCTCAAACTGGAGATTGCTCAGGTGAGAGGGATTCTACAGTTATTTCATACACATCATACATAAAAAATATATCCTTTACCACATGTCTCTTATACAGCAGTATAAGACCATACTGCACAATAGCTGTCTTTAGAGCGTTAAGAATATTGTTTTGCACATTACTCTAGGCTATATGAATGGCTCTTCTATACAGTAGGCTACATATAGGTTTGAAAATATTATATTATATGTTTTCAATATACTGCACATGTATGAACATACTGTATGTATTGAATGTTTTTGTTCTACACATCATTATATAGTCAATGTGCTGTTTGTTTGCAACTATGTATGACTGTATCATCATTGCACATCTCTGTCTATATGTTCATATATCATAAATATATGATGGGTTCCTCACACTTCATGGATGCTATCTTCTGGCTGCAAGATGGTGGAGTAAGTTGAGCATAAGGCGGTCTGAAGGGGTTGCGACCATGTGAAAAGTTTTGTCTTACTCTAATCGTAAATTACTGTCTTAATATCACTTTCTTCATTATATTAATCACAATTTCTCTGTCATTTCCAGTTACAGCATCAAACCAATCCTTACTTAAATTTGTATAAAACCTTAAATTCTAACCCCACCATTTAATAATCAATGTATTATTTCTTACTAAATTACAGCATATTTCAACACTATTCAACATTTTCCCTCTAACACACCATGTCTCAACCTTTGTTCTCTGTATTAAAGGTAGACTGACGTAGATGCAGAAAGTAAACTGCATACTGGGTCAATTTCCTCAACAACTAAGAGCTGTTTTGGTGCCTGGGCTACCACACTGTGAACAGAGTGAAGCGAACCCGTGCACATGCGCAGATATTGTGTGTGACTATGTGAGAGCAAGGCCTTGCATCTCGCTCATCTCAATATCTGCGATGCTGCTCGTGGCAACATAATTTCGCTGAGTCTACCCTTAATCTGTATTATAAAATCTGTTTTATGTCTTTTACAGTATATCACATCCTTTTGTAATTCACCTGTTTTCCACCCTACATATGTCTCCCTAGTCTTCAGCCAAACACACCACTCATCCCCATTTCTGTGTGTAGTCCAATGTGCGTGTCATCAAAAGTGGCACAGTGAGTGCACGTGTGACACGCATCGTGCCTTAGCGGTGCAGCATGTAAACATGTCACATGTGTCCTATTACAGCGTGATGCTCCTCCTGCAGCCCTAGCGACAGACCTAGACAATTCCCTCGAGGACCTTATCTGGAGAATACTCAAAGTTGGGATCAGCTTGATCTTTTTGTCACCTTAAGTGATCATCTTCTTGGTTTTGCTGTTTTGAGAATGCTTTTTTGCTTTTGTGTCAAATAAATGTGTGTCCTGCAGCACCCATGGCAGGGGAGAAAAGCTTGCCTTTTCGCTTGAGAGTTTAATTCTCATCCTTTACAAAATGATGTGTGTCTCAAACCTGGCCTTCTCTTATAGATCTCAAAGAAGGATGCCGGTGTCTATGAGATTATTATGAAGGATGACAGAGGGAAGGACACATCCACATTGAACCTGACAGAACAAGGTGACTAACCCCTCAAAGCCATACCTCATTGTGTGTATAGTAAAGCGTCAACAAGACCTCATCATATTTACAAAGTGACGTAATTGTCAAATTTCTGTTCGCCAGGTTTCAGAGACTTGATGAATGAAGTGTTCAGTAATATCGGTAAGTACATGTGTCTCACATTGCAGTAGTAAACCAATTAACTTAAGTTTAACTTGTGTTCAAAACATCTATAAAGTGTTCCTCTGTAAAGTTGCTCTGTGTAACGTCGCGCTGTGTATCTCTGCACTGTGTAACGTCTCTGTAATGCCTCTGTAACGTTGCACTTTATAACATCTCTGTAACGTTGCACTGTGTAACATCTCTGTAATGTTACACTGTGTAACATCTCTGTAACGTTGCACTGTATAACATCTCTGTAACCTTGTACTGTGTAACATCTCTGTAATGTTACACTGTATAACATCTCTGTAACGTTGTACTGTGTAACATCTATGTAACATTGCACTTTATAACATCTCTGTAACGCTGTACTGTCTAACATCTCTGTAACATTGCACTTTATAACATCTCTGTAACGTTGCACTTTATAACATCTCTGTAACGTTGCACTGTATAACATCTCTGTAACGTTGCACCGTGTAACATCTCTGTAACCTTGTACTGTGTAACATCTCTGTAATGTTGCACTGTGTAACATCTATGTAATGTTGCACTGTGTAGCATCTCTGTAACGTTGCATTATGTAACATCTATGTAATGTTACACTGTATAACATCTCTGTAACGGTGCACTGTGTAACATCTCTGTAACATTGCACTGTGTAACATCTCTGTAATGTTGCACTGTGTAACATCTCTGTAATGTTGCACTGTATAACATCTATGTAATGTTGCACTGTGTAACGTCTCTGTAATGCCTCTGTAACGTTGCACTTTATAACATCTCTGTAACATTGCACTGTGTAACATCTCTGTAATGTTACACTGTGTAACATCTCTGTAACGTTGCACTGTATAACATCTCTGTAACCTTGTACTGTGTAACATCTCTGTAATGTTACACTGTATAACATCTCTGTAACGTTGTACTGTGTAACATCTCTGTAACATTGCACTTTATAACATCTCTGTAACGTTGTACTGTCTAACATCTCTGTAACATTGCACTTTATAACATCTCTGTAACGTTGCACTTTATAACATCTCTGTAACGTTGCACTGTATAACATCTCTGTAACGTTGCACCGTGTAACATCTCTGTAACCTTGTACTGTGTAACATCTCTGTAATGTTGCACTGTGTAACATCTATGTAATGTTGCACTGTGTAGCATCTCTGTAACGTTGCATTATGTAACATCTATGTAATGTTACACTGTATAACATCTCTGTAACGGTGCACTGTGTAACATCTCTGTAACATTGCACTGTGTAACATCTCTGTAATGTTGCACTGTGTAACATCTCTGTAATGTTGCACTGTATAACATCTATGTAATGTTGCACTGTGTAACGTCTCTGTAATGCCTCTGTAACGTTGCACTTTATAACATCTCTGTAACATTGCACTGTGTAACATCTCTGTAATGTTACACTGTGTAACATCTCTGTAACGTTGCACTGTATAACATCTCTGTAACCTTGTACTGTGTAACATCTCTGTAATGTTACACTGTATAACATCTCTGTAACGTTGTACTGTGTAACATCTCTGTAACATTGCACTTTATAACATCTCTGTAACGTTGTACTGTCTAACATCTCTGTAACATTGCACTTTATAACATCTCTGTAACTTTGCACTTTATAACATCTCTGTAACGTTGCACTGTATAACATCTCTGTAACGTTGCACCGTGTAACATCTCTGTAACCTTGTACTGTGTAACATCTCTGTAATGTTGCACTGTGTAACATCTATGTAATGTTGCACTGTGTAGCATCTCTGTAACGTTGCATTATGTAACATCTATGTAATGTTACACTGTATAACATCTCTGTAACGGTGCACTGTGTAACATCTCTGTAACATTGCACTGTGTAACATCTCTGTAATGTTGCACTGTATAACATCTATGTAATGTTGCACTGTGTAATATCTCTGTAATGTTCCTTAGCCAACTCCTCCACTGCACTGAAGATCCAAAGCACAGAGGAGGGCATCAGACTCTACTCCTTTGTCAGTTACTACAACGAGGCACTCCAGGTCACCTGGCACCACAAGTGTGTAGTCTCCTTACTTGTGTTTGTGTGCACGTATGTGCGTACCTTCATGTGGGCGTGTGTGTTCATGCGTGTTTGCAAGTACATTCAACTGTCAGGTGTGTGTCGTCTGTGAGATGCAGCCTATGTGTGTGTGTTTCAGTGAGTTGTTTTTCTCTCTAATAGGGATTCAGCGATAGCCTTCACAGACCGCATTAAGAGTGGTGTGGTGGGAGAGCAGCTGTGGCTCCAGATCACAGAGCCCACAGAGAAAGACAAGGGCAAATACGCCATCGAGTTCCATGATGGGAAGGGTGGTCTGAAGAGGACTGTGGAGCTGTCTGGCCAGGGTGAGTTCCAAATGACACCTTATTTCCTATATAGTGCACTCATTTTGACATCTACATGGAATTAAGGGGCTCCCGTTCCTTCATCAATGCTTTGATAGGTTTACTCACCTCCTCTTATTTCTTCCAGCATTTGATGACGCATATGCAGAATTCCAGAGGCTCAAGTAAGTTACCCCACATTAATGGATTTTTATACACACTTTTCCCCCATTGTGTTAGCAAGCTGTTCTACATGTTGTGGATGTGGCATGCCAGTAAGTACCCAGCAAACCCGGAACATTCCTAGAACATTAGCTAACATTCCCATTAAGATCTAGTTAGGGTTTGAGCTAACATTAGGATGAAAACGTCCCACAAACATTCTAATAATGTCACCAAATATGTTTTCTGCGAAAATGTTGAAGTGAAATATCCTTGGAATGTTCTCATAACAGTCACTAAAATGTTGTGTAAAAACTACCACATAATGTTCTCATTAGGTGTGTGATAACACAACGTAATAACACAATGTTCCAGTAATGCTCTTAGAACGTACTGCCGCAACAAAATGAGGGAGCAATAGAAGGGGTTCTGAGCAAACATTACAGGAACGATCTACTAATGTTGATGGATATGTTATTTAAAACACCCATAACAAAATATCTCTACAATGGTCTCATAAAATTATTGTATTGTGTGACATTATGAGATGGGCTCTAAAAACATTCCCTGAACATACTTCAGCAATTATGTCTGGATTCAATTGAATAGGTTCTGAAAAAACATTACAGAAACGTTCTGTGAATATTTATGGAGACGTCAAGCTAAACACCCCAAATAACGTGCAGGGAACATTCCCACAAGACTCTCGTAAAGTTATAGTGTGATGTTATAACAGGATTGTTCCAATAACGTTCCCTGAACAAACGTCAGCAATTATGTCTGGATTTAATACAAGTGGTTCTGAGAAAACATTATAGCAATGTTCAGCTAATGTTAATACAAATTCAGACAGCTGATGTTCTGAAAGAGCTGAAAAATCTGGACCCCTACAAATCAGCTGGGCTAGACAATCTGGACACTTTCTTTCTAAAATTAGCTGCCGAAATTGTCGCAGCCCCTATTACTAACCTGTTCAACCTCTCTTTCGTAACGTCTGAGATTCCCAGAGATTGGAAAGCTGCCGCGGTCATCCCCCTCTTCAAAGGGGGTGACACTCTAGATCCAAACTGTTACAGACCTATATCCATCCTGCCCTGCCTTTCGAAAGTATTTGAAAGCCAAGTTAACAAACAGATCACCGACCATTTCGAATCCCACCGTACCTTCTCCGCTATGCAATCCGGTTTCCGAGCTGGTCATGGGTGCGCCTCAGCCACGCTCAAGGTCCTAAACGATATTATAACTCTGATCGATAAAAGACAGTACTGCACAGCCGTCTTCATCGACCTGGCCAAGGCTTTCGACTCTGTCAACCACCGCATTCTTATTGGCAGACTAAATAGCCTTGGTTTCTCAAATGACTGCCTCGCCTGGTTCACCAACTACTTCTCAGATAGAGTTCAATGTGTCAAATCGGAGGGCCTGTTGTCTGGCAGTCTCTATGGGGGTACCACAGGGTTCAATTCTCGGGCCGACTCTCTTCTCTGTGTATATCAAGGATGCCGCTCTTGCTGCTGGTGACGCTCGGATCCACCTCTATGCGGACGACACCATTTTGTATACATCTGGCCCTTCATTGGACACTGTGTTAACAAACCTCCAAACGAGCTTCAACGCCATACAACACTCCTTCCGTAGCCTCCAACTGCTCTTAAACACTAGTAAAACTAAATGCATGCTCTTCAACCGAACGCTGCTTGCACCCGCCCACCCGACTAGAATCACTACTCTCGGCGGGTCTGACCTAGAGTATGTGGACAACTACAAATACCTAGGTGTCTGGTTAGATTGTAAACTCTCCTTCCAGACTCACATTAAGCATCTCCAATCAAAAGTTAGATCTAGAATCGGCTTCCTATTTCGCAACAAAGCCTCCTTCACTCATGCTGCCAAACATGCCCTCGTAAAACTGACTATCCTACCGATCCTTGACTTTGGCGATGTCATTAACAGATTAGCCTCCAACACTCAGAAAATTGGATGTAGTCTATCACAGTGCCATCCGTTTTGTCACCAAAGCCCCATATACTACTCACCATTGTGACCTGTACGCTCTTGTTGGCTGGCCCTCACTACATATTCGTCACCAAACCCACTGGCTCCAGGTCATCTATAAATCACTGCTAGGAAAATCCCCACCTTATCTTAGCTCACTGGTCACCATAGCAACACCCACCCATAGTCTGCGCTCCAGCAGGTATATCTCACTGGTCATCCCCAAAGCCAACACCTCCTTTGGCCGCCATTCCTTCCAGTTCTCTGCTGCCAATGACTGGAACGAACTGCAAAAATCTCTGAAGCTGGAGACTCTTATCTCCCTCACTAACTTAAAGCATCAGTTGTCAGAGCACCTTACCGATCACTGCACCTGTACACAGCCATTCTGAAATTAGCCCACCCAACTACCTCATCCCCATATTGTTATTTATTTTGCTAATTTGCACCCCAGTATCTCTATTTGCACATCATCTTTTACACATCTATCATTCCAGTGTTAATAAGAAATTGTAACTATTTTGCACTATGGCCTTACCTCCATAATTTACTACATTCGCACATACTGTATATCAATTTTCTGTTGTATTTTTGACTTTATGTTTTGTTTACCCCATATGTAACTCTGTGTTGTTGTTTTTATCACACTGCTTTGCTTTATCTTGGCCAGGTCGCAGTTGTAAATGAGAACTTGTTCTCAACTGGCTTACCTGGTTAAATAAAGGTGAAATAAATATAATAAAAGGCCCATTCCACAAAAAGAGTGCCTTTTGCGTCCCTTTGATATTTTAAGAAGAAATTGTGCATTAATATTGAATTTAAAAGCCTTTTATATTAAATGAAGTGCTTTTTAATATGGGCCACACGAGGAAAAAGAAGAAACACTGCTCTTGCTAGTATCACTGCTCTTTATTAAGCTTTACGTATCGGCCACAAGGCCTTTGTCAGAGCTTTTGTGAGTGTTTATAATTTGCACCCTTATGTAGACATTGCTCCATCCACATCCGTTCAATGCATCGAATGGGGTTGAAGTCGAGGGAAAATAACAACGTGCATTTCATAAGTATTCTAATAAAGTGTGTACAGAAAATGCATTAAACAAATCTGTAAAACCACAATGAGGACATCAAACCTATCAAGTAAGTTTTCATAAATCATTGGGTACAGTGCAAGAAAAAATGTCAGCGTAGTCTGAAGTGGCGGCATTAATTCATGTTCACATTTACAACATAACATGCATGGGCTTTTCATCATTAAGACCTTTGGGGTATAATGTCTGGAGGGTGAAAATCCAAAAACATTATCTTTTGCTCAGAGTATTATTTATATCACCTCCCCTGTCTGATATCTTGACTTTCTCAATGCCACAAAATCTAAAGGTAGAAATGTCATGAAATGTCATATAGACCACATGGAAAATTCAATAAATCAGATGTTTTATATGAATAAAGACTTGCTAAAGTGCCAAAGGGAATGCTGGGTAAAACCTAAATATTATATTTCAGAAACCTTTAATGAATACATAAAGATGTATGTGAGCATTCTTGCAACATCTTTGCACATTCTTGAACATTTGTGCACCCCGATTTTGTGTTTTGGGAACCTATCTCTTCAATGTCCCCCACACTGTTGCCACAACCTAATGAAATGTTTTGTGAACTTTTAAAGAACATTACAAATATGTTATGTTAACATTCTTGTAACATCAGAGGAATGTTCTGTGCACCCTAATACAAACATTGTATAATCATCAGCACAACTGGACACATGTTGTGTTACTATAACCTTTGGGGGTAATGTTCTAACACCATTCCCACAAAAGGAAGGAAATGTTCTGGGAACATTCAAAGAACCAGTTTTGGTTTGCTGGGTACTCTGCATCCATCCTTCCTTTCATGTGATTGCTATATTTGGTGTTCCTCTCAGTCTGCCAAGCCACTCTCTCTGTGCATGTATGTTTATATAGCAGGCAGTCTCTGACAGGCTTTGAGTAAGGGCATAGGGAAGTGTAAGAGTAAGGCCCCATGTAGCTCAGTTGGTAGAGCATGGTGCTTGCAACGCCAGGGTTGTGGGTTTGTTTCCCACGGGGGGCCAGTATGAAAATGTATGCACTCACTAACTGTAAATCGCTCTGGATAAGAGTGTCTGCTAAATGACTAAAATGTCAAATGTAATGAAGGCTTTACTTAGACATGCTTCCTGGCTCCAGTCCAAACACATTCTCTGCATTCATTTCTCTTATCTTTGTTCTTCAATCTGTTTTGTCTCTTCCAATGTCAGAGCGGCCGCTATTGCAGAGAGAAGTAAGTACACACACACACACACACACACACACACACACACACACACACACACACACACACACACACATTATTAGATGGGGATGAGAGGGCTGCTCTCAGTATTGTAGTGGGTACTGTTATTTTCAAACTGATCTGAGGTCAGTGGTCTAATTTGGTGCTCTTTGTTTCAGATCGTGCTCGCGTGGCAGGAGGCCTGCCTGATGTCGTCACCATACAGGAGTTAAAGGTAACCATGTCTGGATGGATCTGGATCTGTCTGTCTGTCTGTCTGTATATGCATGTCCATGGTTCCATACTGGCCTGGGACTCAAGCATTGCAGACTTGATTGTGTATGACACTACTACGGCTGCATCTGAAATGGTACCCTAGTATTCCCTATATAGTGCACTACTTTTGATCAGCTATGGTCTAAAGTCATACACTATATAAGGAAGAGCTCTGGTCTATTCTATATAGGGAATAGGGTGCCATTATAGGGTGCCATTTCAGACTCACCTTATTATGTCTGATCTTGTCTCTCGCCATCAGGCCCTGAACCTGACCTGTAACATTTCGGGCGAACCCCTGCCTGAGGTAGTCTGGCTGAAGAACGAGAGGGAGATTGTGTCTGATGGCCACTACGTCATGAAGTTCGAGGCGGGCAAGTACGCCAGCTTCACCATCACCACGGTGAACACGACAGACTCGGGCAAGTACAGTATCCTGGTGAAGAACAAGTACGGCACAGAGAGCGCCGACTTCACCGTAAGTGTCTTCAGTCCCGACAGCAAGAAATAAGGGAGAAAGAAAGAAGGCCGGCAAGAAATAAGGGAGACCTCAATCTTTGCGTGAATATTATGTATAAAAATACATAAAAAAAGACAAAGAAAAAAGAAAGAAGTCCTGAGCGTTGGTTTGATGGTTTGAGATGGTTTTTATGGTAGTCTATACAGTATTTAACTCTAGTTTGAAAAGGTGTATCGTTTTACTCTGAGCATGAAATGTCCAAACGTTCCGAGAAAAATCTGAGAATTACAAAAAACATAAACACAATACTTTAGGTCCAATCATCCTTAATTTTGACACCACGATGAGTATAGTTATACATTTATAAAATTCCCCCATGTATTACAATATTTGCTATATTTTGCTAAGTATTGACACACTAAAAAGGTATGTAAAGACAAATGTTTGTGTTAATTCAAATTAATTTACTACAATAGACTTAAAGCTAAAAGGTTAACCATCTAGTATTGGTTAAAAAGGACTATGTGAAGTAAATTTAAGATGCTGAAAACCTTGTTAGCTTACTCAAAGGTTATTACTGTATGTGCCATGCAAGAGTTTTAAAAAGTAAGGAAGTGAATAGATGCTCTATAAGCACTGACAAAGGAAGATTTTTTCTGTCATGTGGAATTTGAACAGATCCTGTGTTGTTTTTTCATTCACAATCACTGTTTACTGAATATGATGTCACCACCTATGTCACTCAGTGTGTTATTACATCACTCCTTCTGCCACTATATAATGATTATGGCATCACTTCCTCTGATTATGACATCACTTCCCCTGTCACTATGCAGTGATTATGACATTACTTCCTCTGTCACTCAGTAATGATTATGACATCACTTCCTCTGTCATTATGTAGTGATTCTGACATCACTTCCCCTGTCTCTCAGTAATGATTATGACATCACTTCCTCTATCACTACGTAATGATTATGACATCACTTCCTCTGTCCGCTGTCTCATGAGAAGGACTAATAAAATGGAGCATGGACTCCCTCACCAGGTCCTCCTCTGTTGTCTCACTGTGTTTTGTTCCCTCTGTATGACACCCCACTCTTCATTCTCCATTCCCCATTCTCTCCCTCCACTTTTCACTCTCTGCTTCAGTCTCCTGTTCACCATTCACTCCTGGTCACTTGTCTGATATTGTCTGATGGTCATCTTGTCTCCAAAGACCATGAAGGCATCTATCACCAAGGAGCAATGCAATCCCTCACTCTGAACATACACAAGCACCTCTCTCCGTACACAAGGGAGTCAAACTCAACTCCTTGACGACCGCACACACCTGCTGATTTTTAGTGTTATCTTTTAACAAGTGGCTGATTTAGACCTGGGTCTGTGGCCCTTGGGGACTTGAGCTTGACAACCCTGCTGCTTTGTACCATATGCTTTGTCTCTCAACACACTCAACCAACTGCACTCTGTCCACACACACTTCCAGTGAGCACCCCTCCTCCCATCACATTTCTCTGTACTGTGTGTTTGTAAGCACAAATCACCCTCAGACACCCACCATGTTTTTGTTCATTAGATGTTTTCTCATCAAGGATTCACCACTAGTAGGGCATTAAATTGGTTGCGTCCCAAATGGCAGCCTATTCCCAATATAGTTCACTACTTTTAACCAGAGCTCTATGGGACCTGGTCAAAAGTAGTGCAATAAATAGGGAACAGGGTCCCATTTGGGACGCATAATAATCTACTGCTACATAAGGTCTATGATGTGACGCAACAGTGCACCAAGCCCTCGTGATAAAGGAAAGGAACGTCTTATCATCAACTAACACACACATGACCTTGTCACTGAATGGGAAAAGTCTTAGTTATACATTTAGTGTGTGTGCCAGTCTGGGACACCATTTTTAGATTCACTGACTGGAAAAGATGGACATTAGACCCAGGAAATGTGATTGCAATGACATTAAAACAAACAAAGGGCTAAGTCACCAGAATATAATGAGAGCAGCCTGTCACATAACTCAAACATGTAGAGAGACCAGGAAGTGGGTTAGCCAGGGGTCTGAAACAAGAATACCAGGGCCTGTATTCATAAAGAGTATGAGTGCTGATCTAGGATCAGGTCCCAATCATTCATATTCATTATAGTCTAAAAGGCTAAACTGATCTGAGATGCAGTATCTCAAGTGTTGTATTATTTTTTGCAGTAGGCTATTCTATGTGGTAGAACATTCTGCTCTCTGCTGTCAGACACACTAAACCGCAAAGCATTAGCTACATTTTTTAGTCCATGCACAAGTAAACATGATCAATAGCTTATTACACCAGCAATAATATCATGTGATCCTGGAACAAAATTAGTTGTTGACATGTTTTTTGCAGCCCTCTTCTCAGAAGACGTTTTAGTGACATTTAATTTGTAGGCCTATAAATCACATTAGGAAAGTTTTGCAGTCTGGTAAGTAATCTCAAATGCCAACAATGTCTTTGAAGTAGAGCCCATTTTTTAAACATGGCTTGATGAAATTGAACTTTTTATTCACGAGACTAGTTTTAAAAGTAGCTAGGGAAATTCTGTGTGCAAGGTATGTGTTTGTGCGTGTGTGTGTGTGCGTGTGTGTTTGTGTGTGTGTGTGTAAATCCTAAAACATTTTCCATTTGCCAGTTGGTTGTAACAGAAGGCAAAGGGGACTTGGGAGTGACCTCCTATTTGACTGATGCTGATGGGAATGTGATCATTGGGTCTAAAAGCAGACCTACCACCCCAACAGAGAGGAGGAAGTCAGTCACTGGGAAGAAAATGCAGAAGAGAAAGGGTGAGGCGACAGCTGTCCACAATAATGTGTGCAAGAAAATTCTTAACACAAAATACTTTTAATGTGAATAAATGCGAATATTAGGCTACACCTTCAATTAGGCCACACTTCTGATTTTAAAAAATACAAACTTACTACTAAGTTAAAACAGTGTACAGAGTAATTATCTCATCTCAGAACCCAGATCTGGAGTAACAGTCTGTCACAAGAGACTAGGACCTATCTTACTTCAATGTGTCAGTCTATCACCTTCAGAAGACGTGGAGAGCATCATCATCATGTTTATCCTTTTTGAGTCAAAAGTGTAAGCACTATCACAAAAAGTCATGTTTGAGGTTAGGGGAAAAATGTAGTTAGGTTGTTTTCTTCACCACCAAACTAGTGAAGTTGTTTTGGATGGACGTTTTGGTGATGGCAAGGGCAGTCTTCTGATTGAGTCACTGATTAAACATAAGTAATGTCCTTTCTCTGGAAGAATCGATGTGAAATTATTTACCTGTGTGTGTGTGTGTGTGTGTGTGTGTGTGTGTGTGTGTTTCCTTAGATTCTGTAATCCTCCAGAAGCCTCCAGAGGAAAAGGAGGGGAAGAAGAAAGAAGAAAAGAAGATGGAGGACAAAACCGCAGACAAGAAAAAGGCTGCCCCTGCTGTTGCAAGCAAGGTCGGCAAGCAGGAGACCCTGCAGCAGCCCACAACTACAGCAGATGAGGCGAAGCCAGATGATGTCCCCACATCTGAGAAACTGGCAGAGAAACCACAGACTAACAAGGGAAAAAACGATCAAGACGAGTGACAATCAGAAAGCTGGTTACATAAGTGAAATAGTTATTTTGGAGTTTGATGTGGTTTATACGTCTTGCATGAATGATGTGTGTCTTTGAGCATCACTGAAACACCACTGGAATAACTGTTTTTCTCCCAACATCGTAATTCACTCATCCTTTTCTTTAAAAGCCCAATGCTGTCAAAATTTCAGCTGATGAAACTAACATTCTGTCAAAAAATTTGATCAGTGTTGTTTCCTGATAGTTTCTGGTTAAAAATACAATCTACACAGGACTTCCTAATCAGTAGGTTTGCATGAGCAGGCGTTTCGGCTTTCCAAGGTGACATCCACATGCGGTAAATTGGTTAATAGAGCAATGACAAAGAGAGTTCCAAACCTCCCTGCCAATAACAGCTAGTTTTCAGTTTTCCCCTCCCCACTCAGACCACTCCCAGACAGTCCTAGCAAGATTCTTGCTTGAAAAATATACCGAACGAAAATATAAACGCAACATGTAAAGTGTTGGTCCCATGTTTCATGAGCTGAAATAAAAGATCTCAGAAATGTTGCATTCGCACAAAAATCGTATTTCTCTCAAATTTTGTGCACAAATTTGTTTACATCCCTGTTAGTGAGCATTTCTCCTTTGCCAAGATAATCCATCCACCTGACAGGTGTGGCATATCAAGAAGCTGATTAAACAGAATGATCATTACACAGGTACACCTTGTGCTGGGGACAATACAAGGCCACTCTAAAATGTGCAGTTTTGTCACACAACACAATGCCACAGATGTCTCAAGTTTTGAGGGAGCATGCAATTGGCATGCTGACTACAGGAATGTCCACCAGAGAATTTGGACAGCTGATGAAACTGAGTATTTCTGTCTGTAATAAAGCCCTTTTGTGGGGAAAACCCTATTCTGATTGGCTGGGCCTGGCTCCCCAGTGGGTGGGCCTGGCTCCCAAGTGCCCATTTTAATGAAAATCTTTTACTGTTAAGTACTTAATTGTTACCCAGAAATGATTTGATATTGATATAAAAACGGCTGCATTGGGCCTTTAAAAGCAGGGAAGATTAAAATACAGAGTGAGGGGATGTCATTTTGTATTACAATGTATAACTCAAACATGCAGTCCTAGCTATAAACTTGTAGCTCAAAGGAAGGGCCACAAAAAAGGGCATAATTTGCATAATCTTCACATCTTTAACCTTTGGTGGTGTTATTGCTAGCATTTTTTTTGTGCTTTTAAGAGTGTGGATTTAATAATATGTTTTGATTGAATAAAATGCAGTAATAGGCCACTTTAAGACACCTGAGATTGGGAATGACATATGTTCACCAATGAAACAGGAGTATGTGTATTGAGGGATACACAACTGACCGATTTTTGAACAAACATTAGTTTCTCATGCACAGGCCTAATAGAAGTCAAAGTCACCAAAGGAATGATATGGGTCTATAGGCAAGAGAGGCAGTGAAGGACAAACTAAACGTGAATACCTGAAGTGAACCAGAGCAGAGTAAAATCACAGCAAGGTCAAATATTAGAACATGTCACTCAGTTCACCCAATTAGCTTGGAGGCAACATCATTGTGTTTATTTTTGTTTAAATTAATATCACTTGGTGAATGAACACTTGTAATTCATACACAATTATCGAGGATATTGCATGGGTCACTTCTCTTGACTGGTATAATTGTTTGAATTGCGCAGTTGCTGTGCATTGAAACTCATGAGTCATGTTATGTTTGGTAGGCTATAGGCCTGCATAATATGGTGTGATAATAATGAAAAATAATACAAGGTTAGATTGTAAAAGCGCGAGTCTGTGTGGAATTTCTCAAATTGATACATTGTACTGGTAAAACGCCAGTAGATGGAAACTGTTACATTATATCACGTGAAAGCACGGTTTGCTTCGTCATATGGTTAGATCACAGCGCCGCGAGACGAGCCAACTACGTAGAGGCTCGAGTTGAGGTGAACTGCCACGGTGAGAAATAACGGACACCGGCTGCCAAATGACTGTCTGCAAACGGTATGTATTCAAGTACTAGGCTACTCTCGCCGGTAAAGTTGATACGCTGCAGTTCTCTGCGAAACAGTAGGTTTTTCATTGAGGCTTTAGTACGAATCTGACGTTTGACTGGGCTAGCTATATGTAGCTTAGGCAACACAGTCAGTATCGGTTTAGCCTTAACGTCAGCTAACGTAGCAGGCATACAATAAACTGTTACTGTAAGAAGCTAGCTAGCTAGCTAGTATAAATAACGTTTTTTTTAAAGACTTCTGATGAGCAGCCTAGCTCTCGCTCATCAAGCTCTAAATTGTATTGTAATTAAATATACATACATATATTTATACATATATTTAGGTTAGAATTGCCTCTACTTTGTCTGACGTTACGCATGTCAAGAGTGGCTAGGGTGGCAATGGATAATAGCATAATTTCAGTAAATGTTTATAGACACAGCAACAATATCACACAATCTTACTCATAAAGCTTAGTAGACATACAATGTTGCTAGCTTTTACTTAAGAAATGCTAGTCTTGAATGACAATTTGGCATTCAAGACAAACCCATTGAAATGTACCCCTTGAATTGAATAATAATCGCTCTAACCGCTAGGCTACTTGCAGCCAAATGCCATGGAATGGGGTGCATTTGCTCTACCTATAGTCTATTGTTTACATTTTTGTTGGTGGCCCACTATTTGATGTTGTGCACATTTTACAGTGCATGACTTTAAAACGACTTCATCCCAACTCATGGCATGTTTTGCAATGGGATTGGCTCCTGAACTGAACACACAATCTTTGCAAAGCACATTGCTGGGCACTTGGATGTGGAACAGTACATAAACGTGCCTACAGTAGAGAAGAAAAGCCAGATATGCCCTGTAATCTGGTAAATAAGATTACCGCTAGCCAAGGTGCTCTCTAACCATCTTAGTGGCCAGTGAGTCAAGGATGATAACAGGTCTTCTACAGCTACGCCTGTTGATAAGGCAGAGCAAACTTGTCTTTACCCTCAGTGTCTGACTGTAACTGAATATTATATGCTGTATGTGTCTGGATTTAAGAGAACAGTATTATTAATGTGTTAATTACACTATCAGGTGTACAACACCATCAAGGACCAATAGTGTGCGGTAGAAGGAGCTTATTGTTGTTGACAGGTGCAATAACAAAAATACCTCCACATGCAAGTGACACATTCAAAATGAAAACAAAACTAAATCTGTTGTCTGTACCTGCCAATCTAAAGTTCACATTAACTGAGCTCAGCAAGGCAGTGGTTTCCTTTTGTGGGTGCATGAAAAAGTTAGTTTGTTTCCTCATCAAACTTGATTTGATGTCTGCTTTACTGAAATTCTACTTACTGTAACTGGCTCATACTTCTTACTGCATTATTAGATGACAAACCCAATAGGCTATACGTTTCCATGTAGGCCTAGATATGTACAGTCAGTTTAATAGTTGTGTGCTAAACCAGCCATTTTTCTGTCTAAATTAGGCAATGTGAGTGTAGTAGGTTACCTGCAGGTCTCTGACCTAGATGTAATGGATGTGTTCTAACATGGCTGACATGTCATTTGAACTTCTTTGGAAACTTCTGCTTTGTCCATGAAAAGAGTTTGCCACTGCAGCTTTGATTCAAACAGGCCATGGCAGGGCAAACTACACATCATGGGGCATATTTGATGTTAATTACCAACCTGATTTAAATGAAAACAGAGAATCATTTATTTTATCTTAACCACAAGTTATGTAGAAAATAACATTTAGACCTAGCATCCTTCTCTTGTTTTTCTGATTTGTACTGTTTTGCCATGTTGCCAAAATGAGTAATTTAATTTAGTATGACCTTACACACAAGTCTGATCAATTTCTTAAAAGACTATTGTTTCATACAATTAATGTCTTGTAAAGGTCTCTTATGAGGCTTCGCACATGTTGATATTTCGCTTTCTAGTGCCTGCGGGGGCGGGGTGAGAGGAGGGGTTCAAGCCCTCAAATGGGTATGTAAGCGTTTTAAGGCTCAGGTCTGGGGTAAATTTCCTTCATAGGGTTTGTGTTGGCTTAGAGGGGGGCAAAGGCCACAGGGGCTCTGGACCGGACCGGTGCATGGCACAGGCTGGGTGGAGGGTGGCAGAGCCAGGAGGAGAGGGGCAGAGTAAGTAGAGACCGCCTGGGCTCAGAGTACAGTGTTATCCCCTCTGAGGTGAACAGGCCTTGGGCCCCGGGGAGAGAGCAATGGACCTCTCAGTACGGTGCCCTGGTCCAAGAGACTCAGTGGAGAACCAGGACTCACATCTCCAGGACTCAAAGTCCTCCTGGACTCTGGTGAGTTGGGATTCCTGCATTAGTCTGCAACTAGAGAGTACGTTGTGGTGCATATCTTTTGAATGAGTTTACTTATACAGTACTTTATCAGAAATGTTAGTTTTTCTAGTTTATCTGATGGATTATAAAAAAAGAAAATTGTGAGCAACATCAGGTTTCTCATATTTAATTTGTACTTTTTTCAGAGTCACATAATGTTGTGACTTACTGGTAGTAACTGTTTCTGTTGGAGATTTACTTTGGGTTCAAAGTCCAGGGCACTGGTATGCAGCTCAAAAAGTTCATAAGAAGTTGTCCATGTAAGGTGCTTAACCCTCCCGTTGTCCTAGGGTCAAAATGACCCGCCACTGTTTTGAACCAACTTTATTTAATTTTTATATTTTTTGGATCATTTGTGAGAAGGAGGCAGTGATACTTTCTTTAAAGTCTCACTGCCTCCTTCTCACAAATGATCCCAAAAATATAAAAATTAAATAAAGTTGGTTCAACACAGTGGCGGGTCATTTTGACCCTAGGACAACGGGAGGGTTAAATATTGTTGGGTCGTTCCACCAATTTGGTACCTTTTGAGAAGTGTAACTTGGTAAAAAAAAAAACGTTTGATTTCACAAAATTTAAAACATTCTAAAATAAAGAGCACATGTTCAACTTCATAAAAACAAGTTTTCCC